GTTAGTTGAGATATCTGAGTACCGCATACATAACGCTGGTAAATTTAGCGCCATGTGTTTCAAGAAATCGAAATGATCTGTATTTCTTCTTCTGACGGATAAATTACTAAGTATAGTAACGAGTTCCCCCAAGGAACTGCCGGTAAAAATTTTAAACAAGTCATTCATTTCTGCCGATGCTATCGATGAGAGTCGGACAAACCTTTTACATTTCCTATCCCATAGCACTAGTCCGATGCAGCCTACTTCCTCATTACCTTCCCTTGAAGCAAGATATTGAAAAAGTTTTTATGAAGCGACCAAGTCATCTTCTTCTTCTTAATCTTTAGCGTTTGTCCCACCCTGTGGCGGGGTCCGCTTTCCTGGTATTACGACGCCACTTTTCCCGATTATGTGCCTGATCGGGGTGAAGGCCAACTAATTTCAAATCCTCATGCAACGTATCAAGCCATCGTTGCTTCGGGCGTCCTCTTGGCCGCTTTCCTGGCACGTTGAAGTCTAGACCCTGTCTTTACGTACCACCTACAGGCGAGCTTCGCGCATCTTATCAGCGATGGGAGCCACACCGAACCGCTTTCTGATGGTATCGTTGCGAATGTGGTCTAAACGGGTAACCCCGGCAGTCCAGCGCAGCATTTTTGTCTCCATTACACTGAGACGAGCCTCAACCTCTTTAGTCACGGGCCAGCACTCTGCTCCGTAAATGGCGACTGGTCGGACGACGGTTCTGTAGATCTTAGATTTCAGTCGCTCTGGTATTTTCTTATCGCGCAGAGTCATCCGATCGCGCCAACTTGGACCAAGCTGCACTCCCGGGGTTTACTAGAGAAGATCAGGCTCCTGTCGGATCGCATTGCCGGACCCAAGATACATGAACGATGTTGTACGTGTGAGGCTGATCTTAAATGTGCCTGACTCACTCAAATCGGTGGTCAAGTACCCTGTGAGTAGCACTCTTCACACATTCAACCTGAGCCCAAACATAGCCAGACGGTCGGACCAGGTTTGCACCTGTTGCTCGAGCAGATGTTTGTCATCACATGCGAGCATCACGTCATCAGCATAAAGAAGCGTCCATGGAGCGGGCTTCTGAAGATCACGCGAAATGGCATCCATAACGACAATGAATAGGAGTGGGGAAAGCGCGGAGCCCTGGTGCACACCGACCGAGATGGGAATTCCATCAACGCGACGTACGGTCTGCCATGAAGCGTATCAAGTCATAATTTGTGCTTTAACTGGGTACGTCTTCGGGAAAGAGCTGGCACAGATTGCACATGTAAGACTTTGGCTCAAAAGCCCTAAATGGATGCTCTAGATCTAAGAATGTTCAACAAACCATTGCATCGAATGTTCATTGATTTCAACAAACTTACTGACCGCTTGGTAACGCACGTTTTCTCAAAGAACGACCTAGTTTAGATTGCATATTTTGATGTTGGAGAAATTGGTTTACTACTCGTATTCTACGGCATGATTGAATATGGTAAAGTGTCTGGAAAAATTTCGTCTGTTGACTGCGCTAGGTCAAAAACAAAAAGAGTTTTCAAAGTTCCCACCGCTCTTGCAAATATCTGAGCTTTTTTTGCGAGTGAGCTGACTATGTTCATAGCACACATAATTCACACGAAGCGTCATAGCTTTGTTCATTCCTTCTGGCCACTTCTCAAGTGTTTTACGATTTAGGTGTTTTCTAGCAGTCTCTACTATGTCTATAAGCTGCGCCGATGCGAAATTCATTAGTCGAGAGTGCTTGGTTTCTGTCATCCGTTGGTCTGCAAGCTGTCGCTGGCTGTGCATCGGCTGTAATTTCTTTTGCTGTAGCGATGAAATGTACGGAATCTGGCAATAATTCCCACGTGAATTGGAGGGGTCAGTGTGTGCTTGTGTTTGTTATTTATGTGATCAACTGGACTAATGGCAAGCATTCCAGCTCTATATTTCGCTTTTTATTGAGTATTTAGGCTGATTTGATGTCATCGACTAATATAGACTGGACTGTACCCGCACTCAGGTTTTTTAGGCGTACGGCTAAAGTGCGAAGATGCACAACTAATGGTCATTTCGGTAAACTACAATAGATCGAAAACGAAAACATCATTTGTACTCTCTTCTTCTATCAAGATGAGAACTGCGATTGGCGATACTTACAAGAGAAACGGTTAAGAATCTTGATAGCTACTCCGAGAGTCAATCCTAGTAAAGTAATAGCAACACAATAACAAGTATAATTAAACAACCCTTCAGAGTCTTGATAAAATCAAACGCAAGAAATCTCACAGAGTATGAAGGAGACACAGAGCTTGGTTACTGATTTCTTCGTGTCTCTCCTGTCTCGCAGTAGAAATTAGCAAAACTAGAAAGTTCTCAGCGCAACAATGGATTATAACCGTTCACTCTGTTCATGTAAAAATCAATATCGACAACGGCACAGTATCTGGAAAGAGCTTTGAGAAGCACGGCTTCTTCAAGGTTAAATGTGCTCTTCACTCCACCTTCTCTACCATCTACCCTCCTAGCATCAGCAATCGAGCACGATGTCGATTTCATGTCTCCTTGCTACCGTAAGAGGCTGCAATTCAGACAAAGCTTGGAGAAGCACTTCATGATTGTATAGGCGCGTTATATTTTTGAGAAAATGGAGGTGTTTAACGGACTACCAATCGTGAAAGAAAGAAATTGGCGGAAAGACTGACTGAGAATAAGGATATTTTTCATATACGTTGAGAAAGAACGCTATGAAGAAGCAGCGGAAAATTTGCCAAATGCCTGGATTAACACCTTGGCGTCAGGGTACAGCTTTGATTTTTCACGGACACGAACTGGACGCAATCGCGAATATGCGATCTGAGAAACCCCAAGAAACAACTAGAAGACCTAAAATGAGCGCGGCAGCAATTAAGCAATGTCTAGGCTTTGGTAGATCTTAGTGGTGTTTAAACGAGATCTCAAATTGAATGAGTGTCCACACTTCCTCGAAATAGGCAAGAAACGGCCAATAAACACGTTGATATAACATACACTCCTATGCAGCCCGCAATGGGTTATACGGTGTTGCATAGTTTTGGAGAAGGTGCTTTTATTAGAATACTCTTCACGTCCCATCTGCACTTCACATCCTCAACTAATGGTAGGATGCGTCCTCAAATAGTGCTGCAATCACCACAATATATGTATACGCTGCACTATGACCGGACAAACATTGCTCTTTTCCAGATATTGGTAACCACTTCACTCTCACTATATATCTTACACTCAGTCCTCATCGCGTTGTTACAAGTATGTTTTCCCATTTTTTTCGTACTTTTCTTTAGTAACCCTAAATGGTGTGGCCACAAGAGTGGAGGCGAAGAAGGAAGGAAGGGCATAAGATTCGTATCCATACATTTCCCAACAAGCTTCACCATGAATTTTAAGCCAGAAAGGATCTTTAAGACGCAGTCGTTCCAGTGTAACACGGCAACATGGAAGGCATTGAGAGTAGATGATCAGCTCAACATTCGCACAAAATGTCGAATTTTCGGGCTCTAGCTATCTTATTCCAACACGCTTACTCTATTATTTTCGAGTAGATTACAGATAGTTGGTTCCTAGTTAGAGAGTGGAAATGCCGCACCTCTGTATGTGAACGCATCAAACAGAAAGTAGGATTGTAAAAATAAACTTGTAAAAATAAACGCTTCAATTTTACAATCTCTACTACATTCACAAGGCACTGATCTTGCCGTTAACAGAAAGAATATTTTAAGGCTTTACTTCTTTTGCGACTTCTGCTGCGCCTCTCGGAATCCCAAGAGTTGAGAAAACAGCATGTCACTTCCAATATATCGTAGCACTGTGCTGTTTCGGAGCCTCTTAGGACCTAAATATTGTATAACCAGAGAGGCGCTAAAATTTTGTTTCAAAAGAATAACAAACATCACAAAATTCTAAGTATTTCCAGAAACTTCAAAAGGTCCAAAAAAGAAAACATGAAACAATTCAGAAGAGAATTCCTTCAGACTCTCCCGTGACATTTGGAACACATTGAGCAAAAGCTGATCCATAGTATTGTGTCGCACTTGGCAGTTTCCCCAAAACACACAGGGATACGCCACATGGATTGCGCCCGCCCAAGTATGGGAGGCTGCCCTTAAGGCAGCGCGTTAAAGCCACGCAATATGTGGTACTTTGTGACCCAGAGCATTTGTAGAACTCCTTGAATGAGCAAAAGTTGAATCGAACAGTTTGCGATGCCCCTTAACTTACGATTGCTCCCAATTTTTTTGTATTCCACTTCTCACGAGAATTTCCATTTTTACTAGCGACATCTTCTTCCAATTCCATTGAATCTGATCTGTACATCAGTTTCAGTTGTTTTAGGGCACACAGCTGATTCTATATTTGACAACATCGGATCCGTGCAATTTGAGCCTACCTCCTTTGATTTGTTTCTCCTTACGACTTCCAGCATCATTCTGTGCGACATGTTTTGCTTTCATTACAGGGTAGGTAGCTATTTTCAACGACTTAAAGCCGTACCTGGTGCTCTTGAACAAGAACCAAGGCCGGTAAACGGACATGACAGTATTGTCCGAATTGGTACTCGATGCTGCATTTCTACAGAGCTGTTAGCTTTTTCTTATTAATGAAGTGCAAGTAGTTCGAGATGACAGACAATTTCTTTTCTTGTGGTGGCACAACCGATGTGAACGCATGCCTCTCAACACAGTCTTTAGTCTCTAGCATTTCTTTACGTCTCTCCATTGTGAGCCATTGCAATCGGTTCGTTACCGTCGCCATCGCTTTTAGAAGGATTGAAGTTTTTTACCGTCACCAATGAGATAAGTGAGCTATTACATAGCTCTGACGACGACGAACACCAATGTGACACTTGATAGAAGATTTCAACGTTCTAGCTTGTTGTAAATGTGGCCTAACGTAAATTAAGAAATAGGAGATAACAGGTTCGAGTAAAATAGTGCAGTGAATTCAAATTCAACTCCTATATCGCGCAACGAATGTTACCCGCTCATGCCGCCCTGGAGCTAGCATACGCTGGGAATGCGAAGGAGTTAATTGTGAGTTACCAGCTAGAGCGAGGTACCAATTCAATGTCGTTTCTTGCTTCAAATATAAAATGTGTACACACACCGCAGCACGCCGCAGATGCGCACGGTGCCACGCCGCGGCTGAGCGTTACACATTTCATATTCGAAGCAGAAACAACACTTGAATTCTATAATGTTGGTTCATAAATTCAGCAACAAATCATTGTATTCATTGCAAGAGCTCATTGTCTCAAAAATATGAGATACAGTCGAGGGAGATAATGCAGTACAGTTTTTCCACCGTAAGTCGCAGCGAAATGTTATAGGCTCAGTATTACGTGCCGTGACGCTTGTGTTTGCGCTATTTAGCAGATCTCGACAAGATGCTGTCTCGCATCCCACAGCGGTTTTCCGTGAAAACCGATTCGTGCCCCTTTTTCACAAGCACCGGCTTTGCGGTCGTCCGGTCACGCCTCATTATGTGTTTATCTAGAAAGTGTGCTGGCGCACTTCCTCTTTCAATACACAAGGCACCAGCGCTCCTTTCTACTCAGCTTGTCGTTTTTATTTGAAGAATTCTGCTTACTGGCACTCCTTGAATGGCAATCACGACACCTCATCTAACGGTGTTGAGAAGTGATCTATTATAGCGGAATCTTGCCGAGTATTTGCTAAAGCAATTGCTTATCAAGTCAACATAACAAGCACATGAGACCATTGCAGGATTGATTAAGAATCAGGAAAATCAGGCTTCTACATGCCTTGATCACAGCCTAGCATCGAACACGATTTGACAAAGTCGTGTTAGTTGATTTACTACAGTTCCTCCGTTGATCAACATCCATCATATTGCCATTGATATGGAGAGGCAACACTGCCCTCGGAAAAGCATCAGTAGTCTAGCTCAAATTGAGCTGCTGGGCTGTTGAAAGCTCATTCCTCGCTCAAGTTGAATTTCCGAATGTTCCACTGAACACGAGAGGCCAATTGGGAACTTCAAGTCTTACTAGCAAATATCAACGTAAAGGTCGAGATCTATAGTCTGATTGCAGCGCATCCTTTATGGAAGGCAGAAGAGTCTACTTTATTGTGACACATTTGAACCCAGTACTTTCGAGAAATTTGGGAATTCCTAGCGAGTGGTCTTTCCACATTTACCTGCAAATGCATGCTCACCGGATTCTGTCTCGAGACCACTTCGTGAAAAGAAAATCTTTTTAAACCAGCTCATTGATTCAATCGCTATCATAATCTTTTTCGATCCAGAATGGAGGTTTCTAGAGAGAAATAATAAGAAAATAAAATCAAATTGTAGCCAGATTGTTTCAACCTAATATGTTCTGTTTCTCCAATTGAGCTCAGTCAATTTCTTTAACTTTTTGCGCTTATTAATAATTATGTGTACCATAAGCAATCCTTCCGCACACGCTTTAGGATCCACTTTATTAAACCACAATCAAGATTCATTTATTTAGTTTTCGATGGTCATCGAGCGAGCTGTAGCGCTATGGAAACGCCAGCACTACGAGTCTTATGGTCCGAAACTAGGAATAATTTCAGCAATCGTTTCGGTGCGTAATTATTCGAAAGGCCTTCCGAAATTGACCGAGTCTGTACCCTTTTCCCCTTAATTAGCTCTATCCAGATTTTTGTGTCATTTATCGCCATGGCGTGGGCAATGCAGAACGACGATTTTTCAACACAGAGCTTCTACTGTTCTGTCGTCACGGAAAATTCTGCCAACCGGCTCACGATTCTGACATATGCACTTTGTGGCATTGATCTCATCACGATGATAGGAACTATTTTCTTGAACGTTTTCAACAGTTATGCTATGAGACGGTACGTATGTAGTGGATCACTCAATAGTGTTCTCTTGCGAATACGCATTGTTGTGCCCCCGCAACTAGGATGTACTCAAGGAGGTGGTACTACAGGGCAAGCAATTGGCGGAATGGTCATAAGGCAATTGTCTTGGAATCTGCGTAGTTCAAAATCTAGCACTTCTGTTTTCATGCTCAGCTTTACTCCAGAATTGCTTTTGAGGTGTAGGTTAGTAACAATAAGTGGCATGTTGGTGACAGCCAAAATGTGAAAATTACAACAAGGGGCGATTTGTGATTTGAATAAACAACAAAATATTCGCCTCGCGCAGAAATGGCCGCTTCTTTGTCGTTATAGCGCTGCGGTAGGACGAACCAGCTTACAAAGGAATGTCACGCTCCAGTAGCAGAACGTCGATTCTAATATTCGTATGAAACCAAAATTTCACCACCGCGCACTCCTAAATGAGCTTCGGTGCAAGCGCATTGACACGAAATATACGATACTAGCTCCCAGTTCTCAGTTCCTCCAAGCTCCAAGATGGAGATCCATTTGAAGTAACCCAGAGTGCCATAATGTCCTTGGTGTTTGATAGTTCCAGACCGCAGTATTTGAGTGAGAGGGTCGCATTTGGGATTGGGGAGGAGGGGTCGCACTTTGGAGTTGAGCAAGGTTATCATAGCAGCAGTGGAGGTTGACGGGGGCATTTAAGGGGGTCATGTTGAGGGGGTGAGTTCTAGGTGACTTTGGTGAAAGTTGCACGAGAGTTGTGGGATCATTATTATTTCGCAAAAATCCACTCATTTGCATTTTTCTTAGGATTTCGAGAAGGAAATTCGAATTTTTGGGCTTTCAGCGGTTCCGATTTCCTTGAAAAAGTTTGATGTAGAGGAGCGAAGGCGTTCTTGAGAGTTACGGGATTTCTATCAAGAAGAAGTGATCTCTTTTCAATGTGCACCATATTTTTCTAAAAGAAGCTCAAAAATCAGGCGCTTTAAATCTCCCGTTTTCAGCCTCAAGAATTCAATTCTTTCATAGATTCGGCATTAGGCACTCCGTTGATCTTTTTGTGGTCACTATACACTGAGATTCGTCCCAAACTATCTTTCCGCGCGTAGTAAGTAGGAGTTTGAAGCGGTTGGCACAAAAGACTTGCTCTGAGATACGCCACGCACGCGCCTGTGGTTCAAAGTTGCAAAGTGTTTGGAAGTCTATTTAATTTTGCTATTAGCCGGACATGTGCAATTTCTGGCCCTGCGACCACGCTCTGTTGCGATATCTGCTAAAAGGTACTGAAGTTTTCGCTGAAGACTGACGTTTTTTTCCGCGATATCTATTTAGTAATTCACGCGGAGAGATACATTAAGACGAAGTTAACGATAAAGGATAAAGGATAAAGCATTTGCCGTTGATCAATCCCTTTTTGGGATGCGGCACGCATTCTACTTCCATTTGTACATTCGTAGTGGCGTTTGAATGCGATGTGGCCTATACAATGACTTGCGGGGGCCAGCCGATGTACAAGTCAGTGTTTTTATCCTCCCAGACAAGTCTGGTACCAATTAACCGACCCCGGAGGGATGGAAGGCTTGGTTGGCCCGGGCGACTCACGACCCAGGATTTGATCCCCGGACCGCTCGCGTGGTAAGCGTGCCACTTGCCACTACACCACTTCCGCCCCGAAGAAAGGAAACTGATGAAAATCCGAAGGGATTATTTTCTTCCTTG